GCAGTGCTGTTGCTTGATGAGAGTTATGCTTGCTTCTGACAATCTTTTCACATCCCAATGAGTCTGCACGAATGGAGTGCGGTTAGCCTATACGTACAACCCGTTACCCTTCCGCGCGGATTCCGGAAGACTTCGCTGATTGAAAGAAACGGCGGGTCTACCCGAAAGCTTAGGCCTCTAACTCCGCGTACCATAGTATAGCAAGACATGGGTGTGGCGTATTTCAAACGTGAGTCTCATCGCTTCAGTCAAGGTTCTGAGGCTGTCTTGGACTATAATTGTGCGGATCGTCCCTCACCTCTACATACCCAACATATGTGATTGGGCCTGTTTCATCATTTGGCTTCGGCTTCATCCTTACACTTTGTCTTGTTGGTGTACGATCCGGATCGTCAGTTCACCGTGTGCGTTTTCCATCCCCGCTGTCCACAAGACTCGTTCCACCAGCCAGAGGGCGCCGATAGAGACCTTAGTGTGTTTGCGTGTCCATACGATCATTGCCTCCATCTTTGGGCTCCTCCTGGTCCCTCTGATCTCGTGGCACATTCTGGTGAGGCTACCTCCCTTCACGTAGCCGCTCTGGCCTAGCGTACTGATGATGTGTATCGATTAGGTACCTTGCGTGGGCTCACTGTTGCATCATATAGATAGCAGGGCCAGCCTCGTCTCCTCCACTTTTGTGACCGACCATTCACAATACCAAGTCTGGAAATTGCAAGATTTAGCGTTGTTGTCTACCTACCTTGGCAGAGCTTTGTACTCGCTCGAACTCCGCATCCCCACCGCCTAATCTCGTGAAGCGGTCAGGTCCGTTGAGCGAATGATAGAGTGTCACTCCTGTGAATACTGAACGTGCCCGTGTGCCTCGACATCTCGACAGCAACCCGCAATCTTCAGTCACGCCCACTTCACAGCGGTGGTATCCCGCCCGTTTTGGCCTCGCGTAATCGCGCATTCACGCCGACTTGCAATACTATTGTAAGGTTAGCGTCTCTTGGGGTACCCATAAGAGGCGGATGCCGCGAGAGCAGTCATGGCTCTCGCTCAAGAAGTCCCTCAGGATTGCAAGTATCTTCTTCCTCAATCTCTTGCTCAGATTCAGCCCCGCCTAGTCTACGTCCCGGAACCTACCTCAGCGGATCAATTTCGCGACTTCCCTGACTATACTGGAATGCCGGATTCAATGATGGTAAGTGTCGCCTATGCTGTTGCGGCACCGAAACTGACAACTGTGAAGGCAAGTCACTATGTGCAGACCCAGCCGTATGCACTGCAGAGGGTCGAGCAGGAGGACACCAAGTCGACAGGCGCAGCACCTGCCACGCCGAGCTCCAACAACCTCGCGTACTCATCTGGCCAGCACTGGAGCGGAGTCCCTACACCCCCGTTCGACTGGCACCATGCTATCCAACAGACGCAGCCTTACGTCGTACCAATTTCGGACCTGCAATTCCGCCGGAATCAGGTCCTGACATACAACCCTACGCCCATCACACAGAACAGTATCGCGAAGAGCTTTAGCGACCCAATACCCTGGCCGTCCTCGGAACTCCATGGGCTGCCTCGTGGGATGACCGCCAACAGCTCTGTCCTGGACGAGAGCATATCACTGTCGCCAAAGAGTTACCGCAGCGATGATCTCGAGAACACATACAGTCCAGGGTCTATGCTAGACCAATCTTCGCCATGCGGAAATTGGAGCGTACCTTCAGCGACTACCACCAACGCCGCCATCCTTTCACCTCCCTGCAGGTCTTTCCTTGTACACGATGTAGATGGCGACACTGGATACTCAGGACTCCCGAGGATGGACGAGGACATGGCTAAGGTCACAGCGCCATCCGGCTATCCTAGTCGAAGGGACCAAAGACCGATTGCCTCTTTCGGGGAGGACTACAACTCTGGATCAGATTATTCGCGATCTCAGACTAGTAGCGCTGGCCATTCTCCGTGGTACGGTGAGAACTTCGCGTATAACAACTCCAATCTAGCGTTCAGGACCCGCGACGTTGTGCGCTCCAGTCACCCAACCAGTAATACTAGCATATCGTCGACAGACGAAGCAAACACATCGCACTATCCTGTGACGCCCTGGAGTACTTCATGCGCGGATGCCGGTCTCCACAGCCGTATCCAGGACAGGTTCCACGTTCCACGCAGTGCTGGTGCCCAAGCCCAGCGAGAGCACAACGATCAGCTGCTGATCGATGGAAAGAAGAGAGGAGAGACGTACAAGGAGATCAAGTCGAAGATGGTCGGTGAGAAGCCTGCAGAGTCTACTCTGAGGGGTCGCTACCGATCCTTGACCAAGGCGAGAAAGGATCGCGTCCGGAAGCCTGTTTGGACAATAATCGATGTAAGCCGACCGTTTGGATTTACATCCGTCATAGTAGACTGACACATCGACAGCTACAGCTCCTGAATGAGACCGTTCAGCAAGAGTTTGATCGTATCGAGAGCAACCTCCAGAACCCGTACTCGCTAAGCTTTGAGCAAAAGATTCTCAAAGTCGCTTGGAAGAAGGTCGCAGAGTTTATCGCCGACAACGGCGGATCGTATCATTTCGGCAACGCGACGTGCAAGAGGAAATGGTTGGAGCGCAACCAAGGTCGCAAGTGATCGGAGATATACATGGGCATGTCGAGCGACGGCATCGACACACCCTCATCCTCCAGTAAACTTGACTGGTGTCAAGTACTGGTCATTTTGAAGGTACAAACTGCGACCACTGGAACGTTCCCCGACTGCACAGCGTTACTGTTGCTGTTGAGGCACCGAGGGATGTTGTAGAGGCACCTGTCTTCTGCAAATGCGCGGAAGATCGCCGCATGGCAGCATCTGTTATTTCTGCTACTTCCGGGGTCGTACTCCCCATCTGTACTACTTTGTTCTATTGTTATGTTGATGGTAATGTTGGTGGATATGTTTGTCTTAGTAGCATCTTGGAGGCGTAAGAAGCCTCCATGGCCTAGATGGGGAAGCTGCAAAGCATGGCGGTGGCGTGACGTCGTTTCGGGAGGTCTTTTGAGCGGGTTCTTGACGATATAATATCCCTTGAATTGAATGTGGCACGTCGAAGCAGATGCTGTATGACAAACGTGATGGCGATAGTGTAGGAGATGTCGTGAAGTGTGAAAACAATTCTAGACTTTGGCGCTAGCTCGCGGTGGAAGCTCGAACGGTTGAACTGCCCACCCACCCCATCTGTCATCGATACGCGACAACGAATGAAGATGATTCTCGGGCTATCTGAAGCTCTTCCGAGCATCACAAAGCGCAAGTTTGAGGCTGCAAAGGCATCGTCGGATCTGCTGTTCTCGCCCACGGAGCTAGCCATCATCCGCTCATCTGCAGGCATTCCCGTGAGTATGCCGACCGTGCCACCACCACCAGGCTCACACGCCAGCAGTTCCAATTACGATACTGCCCGTCGCTCGCCAAGAAACCCATTCCGAAGCTCCAGAATGCGACGCCCAAACAGAAGATCGACCCGTTCGAGAACCCCCCACCCGCCCTCCACCTGGCCGACATACCAGCCGCCAACCCAACCCACTTCCTCGTCCTCAACAAGTACCCCATAATATCCGAGCACTTCATCCTGGCGACAAAACCCAACAAGAAGCAAACACACGTGCTCGAACAGGACGATCTGGAGGCGACCTACGCCGTCTTGAAGGCATGGCAGGCAGACTCGGGCGGCGACGAGAAGCGTCTCCTCGCCTTCTTCAACTCCGGGGACCACAGCGGCGCCTCTCAGCCCCACCGACACTTGCAGTTCCTACCTGTAGAAGGAATGCGCGATAGCAACAATGCTAGCGACTGGGGCCTGCTCATAGATCTGATCTTGACGAGCCCGGCAGCCAAGGCAACTGGTAGGCGTCTGACAACTCTGCGCTTTGCCGTAGCTAACATGCATCCAAGAACAACATCCCGCATTTCTGCAACACCCTTCTCTGCCGTTTACGCACTTTGCCTACCCATTCGACTCTGAGCCATCAGGTACTCAGTTACTCGATATCTACAATCGTCTGTACGACGCCGCGAAAGCCGCAGTCGACGCCTTCATTTCCGCGAATCCGAACGACTTCGCTCTGCACCCCACCGACGACGGCAATCTACCCATGAGCTATAACCTTGCCATGACGACTGCAGGCATGGTCATTCTGCCTAGACGCGCCGAGGGCACGATGCTTCACCGCGATGACGGCAGTGAGATCGGCTTCGTCGCTTTGAACGGTACAACGTTAGGAGGCACGATGATGGTCAAGCATCAAGACGAGTGGAACATGCTACGCCACGAGTCAGGGCTCCTGGACCGCATCCTGGGTGCGATTGGCATTCCGAAACCTCCTTCATCCAAAGTGGGCTCATCCAACATATGACCGGACCTAGGTAGGATCCACGTGGAGCGTCGCTAGCCAAGCTGGTCGAGTACGATTGCGAACGAGCGAGTCCTTGCATCCATCCCCAAATCCACACCAAAAAGATCACAAGCAAATGAATTTGTGGACGAGTGATACCGTGGCCACTTTACCAGACGCGAATGTCTAAGACGTGACGCGCACGCGACAACGAGCATGTGCTGCATGCACATCTCACGAGTAATGATAAACACCCAACGCAGCCAAACATGAAGAAGTCTTGAGAGCTTGGGCACGATCGTGCAACGTCTAGGAAACACCGAAAATCGAGGATATCAGTATCTATAAGATTATTCCGATGACCTAGGTTTGTATTTTGCAGAAAGCTTGGGTAAGTCATCTGGTGCTGAACGGCACGTGAACTGGCGCGGTCATGAGACCACCCCAGCACCAAAACAAAAAAGGTACTCATGATGCATCAAATGCGAACACAAACTTCAGCTGAGCAAACTGCGGCGAGGTGATACATTGTCAGAATGACTGTCCGGCTGGTGAGTTCTTGTAGCGCAAGGTTTGAATATGCATCCCACCGTCACCTTTCACACTCCGCATTCATTGTATATTCCATAGCCTAGCATCATGAAAGAAGAAGCAGAAAAAGCCGTAGAGACAGTACGTTACGTGATAGTCATCGCATGCATGGACAAAATGCTGATCGAACTTGCCTAGGCCAAAGGGTTACTCCAAGACTTTGTAGTCGTGGTTTCCCTCGTGCGGACCTTGACGGAATCTTTCGGTTCTGCCAGTGATCTATACCGCAAGCTCAAGCGTAGATCTGGTAAGAAAGATAGCGACGACGAGGAAGATGAGTATCATATTCAGGGGCCATGGTATAGGCGTCGTCGCGACTCCATGTTTGGCTCAGAGAAGAGGAAAGGCGACTACAGTGACAGCGAAGAAGAGCTCATATGCACCTCTTCTTCCCAGATTCGAGCCGAGTACGAACGTGGGTATCGAAAGCTGGGCGAGCCGTTTGCGCGTGGCGATGGTATGTTCTCGTTCAAGTTCACACCACCAGGTACTGATGTCGAACAGTTACAACGCATACCCAGCTCCAGTCTCAGATCATAAAGCTTCAGCAGACGGTCATCAATATCCAACAGGATCTGCTACTAAGCACGTATATGGCGCCGTCATCTTCGCACTCGCACCTTGTACGTCTGATTCAGACGGCTCGTGCAGCGCGTGCAGCTTCCATCGCTTCGTTGAACATGCAGTACGAACGCATGCTGCCACCACTCCCATCACCGCTATTACCTCGACAACCCGACGCACCTTTAAGAGTCCCTGGCGCATTTCCACTACCAGACCATCCGCGACCACCGTCAAGACCACTGCGGCACAAGAAGCGCATGGACAGCAGCTCCAGCTCCTCATGCGAGTCAAAAGAGGTCTTGATCAAACCGATACCAATCGTGAAGCCCAAACCAAAACCCACGCCTATACCTCCACCCCCTCCCCCACCTCAGCCTCAGCCTCAGCCTCAGCCTCAGCCTCCATCTTCACGATACAGCACAAGACTATTTTGCATCTACGCCAAAGACCTCCAACACAACCCCCGTCTCCACCTCGCCGACGCCTACCGACCCACCGGCGACCACAAGTGTCCTTTCTGCCGCACGCACGTCCCCATCCAACCCGGAAAAGCCTGGGAGCTCGTCGTCGATGGCTACAAGAAGAAAGACGAACACGGTCATTGCAAAACGGCACCGCGAGCGTTTCGCATCAAGAACCGCTTTATTGTCAAGAGCCATAGAGAAGGTGGGGGCTTTGCATGTGTGCTTTGCGCCAGGTTCAGGAAGTCGGATACCGTGTGTAGGGGTATTGAGGCGTTGATGGATCATCTTTGGAGGGAGCATGCGAGTGAGGAGTTGGAGAGGGATGCGGATATTGTGGAGGTGTAGAGGGGTGTTTGTTATCGTTGTCGGTGTTCTCATGATTGGCGTTGATGATACCCTTTTCGTGATTATCGGCTGCGTTGAACTTTCATATAATACTTTTGCAACATAATCATGGATGCTATATGAACAGTTCGATCAGAATCAAACGCCTACTCAATATGCGTAGAACACGTTGACGCCATCCCTCTTCAGCCGCCGGTTCGTCACCTGGAGCCACGCCCTCAGCGCCCAGGCCGATGCAATACATGCCCCGGCAAACGCCGCATTGCTACTCATAGCAATTACATACTTGGGTCCGTCGCTCGCGGGATACAGGTAAGGCGTGTAAATAAAGCTAGCCATGGAAACCACATTGACTATGGACAGCGACACAGCCTTTTTCTCCGTGGTCTGGCCTAGCGTCCCTGACACCCAGCCCAAAATCACTGAATTGACCGAATAAACGCCTGAAACAAGCAATGTTAGTAATAGGTCTCACGATAGGAGTGTCAAGAAGGACGGGGATGATGGAGGGGACAACGCACCGGAAGCGAAGAGGAAGCAAGAGATGTAGCGCGCGGCGGTGTTGAGCGTGATAGCACTAATAGCGAACCCAACGACTGCGATTCCCATCATGACAGTGATGTGCCATGTTCTATCGTTGAACTTGCCAGACGAGATGCCGATGCATATGCCGACCACGCCGGCGACGAGCGACGGCGGAGCTGTCAAGACCAACGTGATGGTTGTACTGAAGCCCAGAGACCTGACTACAGTAGGGAAGAACTGTGTTTTGTTAGTAGCTGTAACACGAGAGTTATCCGAAGAATGGCTGATTGCGACATACCTGATTGAAAGACGTAGCGCTCAAATGCATATTCTGCATAAAGACCAGAAGATAAAGTCTTGGGTCGCGCAGAGCTTGCATGAAACCCGCTTTGACTCCTTTGCTTGGCTCAAGTCCAACGGTGTCCCGCTGGATGCGATCGTGCGCCAGTTGACGTTGTTCAGGTGTAAGCCACTTCGTTGTCAGCGGCTCATCCGGTAGTAAGAAGACACAGACGATCGACACGCCGACTGTGACGATGCCTTCGATGATGAAAAGCCACTGCCATCCATGCATTCCATGCTTGTCGTCCAGCGTCGCGAAAGTAGCCGCGGCAATGAGTCCAGCGAAAGAGACGGCGAAGATGTTTCCGGCGTACAGGATAGATACTCTTGTAGCGATTTCCTTGCGCGTGTAGAACATGCTCAGGATGTATAGAGCGCCTGGGTAGAACGGGGCTTCGACGAATCCGAGGAAGAAACGCACCAGCACCAGTCCAGTGTAGTTCTTGACTAGAGCTGTGAGAGCTGCTACGCAGCCCCAGATGGAGCAGCACAGAGCCATGTAGAGCGAAGGCCGCACTTTCTTGGACGACATGAGCATGTTACTGGGTATCTGCGCAAAGAGATAGCCAACGTAGAGAATGGATATGCAGGTGTTGTATTGGTTTCCGACAAGACCGAGGTCGTCTTCGAGATCGTTGAGGCGCGCGTTTGCTATCGCATTCTGGTCGAGCTTGTTGCTGGTAGCACAAGTTTTAGCAATGCGAAGATTGAAGGGTTTTTGTGACGTACAGAAAGTACATGCAAAAGAGCGCTGGCATCACTCGCATGTCGAGCTTGCGTACCAGCGCGATCTCTGCTGGATCTGTCTTGGCAATCGCACCACTGTAGTCGGCGCCATCGAGCGCAGCTTGCGCCTTGAGGTCTTTTTCGGATGTCGCGACATCGTCGATTTGCAGGGCTACATTCTTCTCGGTATCTTCGTAACGGTCGGTGTTTGCGTTGGCCATGTTTGGCAATCTTCAGAAGCGCAGGATTGATGACTCGGTCATGTGCAGGATTCTAAAGTATCCTGGAGAACAGCACAAAAGGTCAATCCTCCCAAGAGAAGCGCCTTCTATATACCCCAGCTGGACGAACGTTCCCCAGAAAGTCCATGAGCAAGCTTGACCCCGGACTTTCCCCAGACCCCAACTTCTACGTTGCGGCGCGGAGAAAAACATGGGGAACATGACAATGTCCAGAGCGTCCCGCGGCGTCCGCTACGAGTCAAGTTAAAGACTAGGTAATTGGCCATGAGAATCGTCGGCTGGTCCTGGGTGGAGAGCGGCTTGCGGCTGGAAGACGCTAGCGCGGACAAAGACATGTCCGGTCCGCCTGAGCGGCACATCGGCTCATGCCAGTGGCACTACGTCGGAATATTGCAAGTCCCCGTTACTCGCATGACTCCATCGAGGCTCCAAAGAGCAAACCGGAGCTATTCATCATGGCGTTTTGGCGGACTCTCTCAAGTCCGCCTGCCAAACATGCGCTCGAGACCTAGCACGAAGTCGTATGCTGCAGTGAGATCGTCCAACGTTTGCCGCTCGGCATTTCCATGTAATGGATGGGCGAAGTACATATAACGCAAGCTTTCGATCCAAGATTCAGCACCATCCAACGCAAATCAAACTCATCCACTCTCCTACAATCAACTCTTACTCCCTATCCAAACCCCACTACTTCTCTCACCACAATGGGTTCCATGCCTGAAGTCAAGCAAGCTCCCCAGATCGACCTCGCAGGTCTCGTCCCTGCGCCGGTCACTCCATTCAACAAGGATGGCTCGGTCGACTACGCAGCCATCCAGCGCCTTGGCTCCTGGCTCGGCAGCATTCCAGGCGTGAAGGGTCTGGTCGTGCTGGGACACGCTGGCGAGGGCACTTTCCTCACCCAGGAAGAGCAAGTAGAAGTTATCAAGGCCTTTGTTAAGTCTGTGGACAACAAGATCCCCATCATCGCTGGTATCACCACAGAAGGCACTGAGGTGGCTGCGCTCGAAGCTCAACGCGCCAAGGCTGCTGGTGCGCAAGCGGGTCTTCTGTACCCCAGCCATGGCTGGCTACGCTTCGGATATCAGCCGGGAGCGCCCCAGGACAGATACAAGACTGTGTACGAGAAGTCCGGACTTCCTCTCATCCTGTTCCAATATCCCGACAACACCAAGGCTACCTACAACCTGGACACGCTACTCGAGATTGCCGCACAGCCCGGTGTCATCGCTATGAAGAACGGCGTCCGCAACATGCGCCGTTGGGACGTCGAGATTCCCATTATCAAGAAGCAAAACCCTGATCTTACTATCCTCACATGTCATGATGAGTACTTGCTACACACATGCTTCGACGTCGACGGCATGCTTGTTGGGTACGGCAACATCGCGCCCGAACCGCTGCTTGAGATGATTGAAGCCGGCAAGGCGAGAGACTACCCTCGTGCGAGAGCTGTTCATGACAGACTGCTCCCAGTCACCAGGAACGTTTACCATCGTGGCTCGCACATGGAGGGAACTGTTGCACTCAAACATGGTCTGGTGGCGAGGGGTATCTTGGAGCACGCGACAGTGCGAAGTGGACTTTTGCCATTACAAGACGGCGCAGAGCAGGAGATTCATGCTGCATTCAAGTCAGCCTCGCTAGGCAAGGTCACACCGCCAAAATCGGGTTGATTGTATGTAATTGGTATTATTAGTATTCCTCTTGACGCTCAATGAAAGCTTTGTTCATGATAAAGTGGATTTTCTGTCATCGCAGGGTCGTTCCCGAACCAGTAATTGATGTCTTCGCCGTTGAAGAGATGCATGATTTCCTCGTTGGGTAAGGGATTGTCTGAATATTGCTGTGCAATACCAAGAAAGTTCCCTGCTCCCGCAAGATAGTCGAAGGTTAGGCTGTTGGCATTTTGCATATCGGCAGATTGTGCGTTGGCGTTAGATAAGGTTGACTCTGCCGCTTGGGTTGTGAAGCTTGCGGAATATGGTACTGCATGAGGCTGATCGGTAAGTCTCTGGAGCTGTCCTGTTGGCGTCACTGTGCCTGTCGCTGGATTGTGTCTTGAGGCCGCGTAATTTCCCGAACGATTTGCTATTACTTGTCTCTGAGTTTGCCAATTATCCATGCCAATGGAAGGGTCGCGAGTAGCATGAGTTGCCGGCCGCGAGCTGTCCCTAGACGTGTTCGTAAGGTCGCGGCTACATGGCTTATCGAGTCGTGTGACAAGGTTTTGAATAGCGACTATGCATGCGTCTGGCCAACTCGTACCCCTCAACGCCAGGTGCTTGAGAATCTGAATGCTTCGGTCTGAGAGCCTGAATGCGATGTCGCGCGTAACCTGTCCGTCCGCAGCAGCAGACAGGATAATAAACGTACTCATCCATACTGCCCAGGTAAATGATGGCCAAAGCAGAGGAGTTCTTTCGTATCCATGTTGACCGGGTGAGCCATCGAACGCCCCGAAACCCCGGAGGGCTTTGTGTAATGTGTTTATTATGGAGCGCGAGGCTGATATGCAGCGCTGGAGCGCAGCGTTGTATGCAGCGTTCTTCTTAGACGTTGCTAACACAGAACGATGGAGAGCAAGCACTGACTCGAAGCGAAGGACGATGAGTGTGACTTGATGTGCTTTGGATATGGTTTGTGTTTGCTCGTCATTAGACAAGTGTTCATCGACCATATTCCACCACTTAGTATGCTCTGCCTCCACTTCCAGGGCTTGATCGACATCATCGGCGCTACCATGCAGCATAGATTGGTGTCGCGTTTGCATGATGGATCCACGGATGTCGGCGTGGCGAGCTAGAAAGTCCAATAAATCTAGTCGGTCATCACGGGTGCGATCTTGAGGCGAGTTAGCCGAGAACCCTTGAAACCCAATCTGCTACAAACATACCAGCTTCCTCAGGCTCCCGTAGGTGTCGCTCTGTGTGTGGGTAGCAGACATTTGCCTCATCTGACCTTATGCCGAGCGGCGTACCAAGCCGGATGCATATATATCTATCGATGCATATCACAGACCAGAAAAGCCGCTTCCTTAGCTCAGCTTCTTTGCTTGGAACTGATAAATGTAACGGACAGCGATGCAGACTCAACTGGAAGGCCATTCGAACGGCCAAACCTTCCAGACGCGACGCCGCGTTGTACCTGTGCATCGTAATTAAA